TAATATGCAGTGGCGCCGACAATTCGAAGTAATTATATAATTATTTTGAAAATAAAATCCAAGATTGCAAAGCAATTTTGTAAGTTTTCTTTTCTAAGGTTGCCCGCTTCTTTAAAAATATTTTCTTATTATAATATATTTTCAAAAGATGTAGGTCATGATGTAAAATTGCTCTCTTCTATATAACTGTTTTCTTATTACTGTAAGTCATTTTCATTGCTGATAGTTTTGTAAGGTTGCTTCTTCAAAACTGTTTTCTGTTATAGTATATTTTAAAAAAGTGTAGAGTGATCTAAAGAATACTTAAGCCAGATTCATTGCCGCAAAATTTATAAATTTCGCCTGTTTACCAACACTAAAAATAGTGTGCCGAAAGCGTGCCGGTAAGAAAATAATGTTATTGTAACAAGAATAAAAATTAGGAATTATGTGCATAGAATTTGGTACCCTTATTTTTATAATAAACATTATATAAAAATATATTATACAGAAATTAAGTAAATAAAAATTATAATATTCTTCATCAACATTAATTAGTCAACTCGTTTTCTCCTCTTCTGTAATGACTACTTTTTCTCAATTTTCTGGTGTCATTTTTTCTATAACTTCATCAAACACCAGCTTAAGTTCATTCATTTTGAATTTAGTGTTCTTGTTAGAAATCGCTCATATAAGATCTATGACGTAAACAGCAATGGATGTGCGCAATACACTTACAACATGGTTTTGTGCCACATCTTCTACGGCGTTAAACGACCTTTGTGTAGATTTTCTGTTTATAATAGTTCCTGCTTTTGGTGAATACCCAGTTCATAATTTCTATTCTGCCAGAAGAAGTTCTAGTATTCACAATGCATCTCCAATAATAACTTGCGATATGTCTTCGGAAACATCTTTTTAATTCCGTCTTAGCTTCCGATATCGATCAACTATTAGTCTCTTTCCTTTTACTGACAGTTTAATATCAACTGACAACGCTTCCACGAATGCTTTGCGAGCACTGGTTATACTTTCGTCTTGCCACATTCAGGCATCTATATACATCTATTATGTTATTAGCAGATTATTAATTTTTAATATTAATCAACGCATTCGACTAAGATTTCTTCTGTTCTCTTCGCTACTGCTTAATATTTTTTTAATTATTTTCGTCCTCATTGCTTGCTCAAGCTTCATTTTTGTGTGTATATCTGAAGAAGAATGAGGGGCAATATCTCAGGTAAGTGGTCAAAAATGACAACAAAACCTATTTATTTGTTTCGGATTCAGAAAAAAGAATGTTTTTTTTCTTAAAGTTTGCCTATGCTTATGGGTTATAAGACGTTCTAGAGATATGAAGGTCCTGCCTATGCTGATAGTACAGAAATTTATCAAACAACTTTGACAAAAAAATGACACCCGTAATTGCAAATGCAGGCTTGCGATAAGACCTTAGCGTATTCAAAAAACCAAGCCGACAATTTTCTGAAATAACCTATAAAATTAGTTTATGTTGTATTGACAATGGTCCATGTAATACTAAGGGCGTAATGAAGGTGAAGGTTGATGCTAATTGCATTCAAATGTCAACGAACAAAAAGCCTGACGTGATGTAAATTTCTGCTTAGTTTGGGGTTTGGAAATTTCATCTGGCGCCACTGGTCTCGTTCCAACGTACTTATTTATTAGCGCTAGGACGTTGTGTATCATTTATATTGCTTTTACACGGACAACCCATATCAACAGTTCTTGAAATTAAACGTGCTTATTTTTACTGCCGCCTCACGCAGTTTGTATGGATTTAAAATAACTATGTTACGAGTACCACCAGATACGTCTAAACCTCCATATTTATAATAAAATTACAATCGTGGGATTAAATAAAAGGTTTTAATGAAGTCGCCGGTTTTTAAAAATTGTTTTTATTTTCCTTATATCTATGCTTTATTTGATTTATTTTGCTTTTTGAGTCGTTCGTGTATTCTTAATTTTGTTTGTGTTGTTTTTATATTTATTTGAATTATTTGGACTGACGGGTCAAAATTTTCGCGGGAGGGTATTTTTAACAGAAGGAATAATCATAAAATTTGTAGTAGAAAAGCGATTTCAACATATATTTAGTTTCAATATGTTTTGTTTGATGATGGTAATAAAATAGATTATTGTATCTACAACGAGGAAAAATATCTTAGCATTACAAGATGTTGGTGTCAACTGGATGGAGCCCCGACTCATTTCACAAATAGAGGAAGTTCAGAACATGCAATAATGTTTCAAAACTTGATAAATAGAATATTAAGCTTGTTAAGGTCAAAGACAAATTTGTTTACAAAACATCATCATGACTGGCCAGAGCCTGCTACCCAGATGAAATGTGATTAAAATCAAAATAAATAAGAACTAAAAGTTCAGATTTTCACGAAATTATATATTTTTACATGACAATTGTTTGTCTTTATGAAATGTAATATTTACGGACTACCTGCTACTATATATACCGAAAAATGACGATAAAAGCTTAATTAACGTTGTCAGAATTTAAGTTCAATAAAGAGGTATTTAAATCTAACTGATCGTTAAGCAATACATTAGAATGTCTCGTTTTGTTAATCTCTATGGCTTCCAATAAATTTAATTTTCTACTTTTTGTAGCTGTATGTAAAATATCAAAATTGTCGTCAAGAATGTGTTTTTCTGTGTTTAAGTGTGTAGCATTATTTGAATCTAGACTATTGTTTTTAAACGCTCTTTTATGTTCGTTAATGAGTCTCTTGAATGATCTACTTGTTTGTCCAATATAAATTTTAGGACAAGATCCGCATTTCAACCTGTAGACACCTGATTTTTAGATTTTGGACATTTCGTTTTATTGTTTTTTAAAATTTTTCCTATTGCGTTATTAGTTCTGAAAGCTATTTTTAAACCACATTTTGACAAATCTTCTCCTATGTATGTAATTGTTTTAAATTGTTCGTGTTCTGTATTAGGTTTAGGATAAATAGAGTTTACTCTTGTCTGGATTTGTTTTTTATTTATAATTTTATTTATAACGGACGGATTGTAGCCGTCGTTGTTTAATGATATTAAGTTCTTTGTTGTAATTTTCTGTTGAGAGTGGCGTATTAAGAAGTCTGTGTATAAAAGAGTGAAATGCAGTCATTTTGTTTGTATAAGGGTGATTTGAGCTGTTATGTATGATTGTGCCCGTGTGTGAAGCTTTATGATAAATGGAAAAATCTAATTTGTTTTGCATTTTTGTAATAGTCAAGTCTAAAAAATTAATAGAGTTATCCTGTTCAATCTCGATAGCGAATTTTATACGATTATGTAATGAGTTTATGTAATTTAAAAAAGAATTCAATTGTCTGTCCGTTCCAACAAAGCAAACTAAGATGTTGTCGAAACAATTGTCATGTAAAAATATATAATTTCGTGAAAATCTGAACTTTTAGTTCTTATTTATTTTGATAAATGGATTTTCATCAAGTAAAAGCCACCTCAGTTCAATTTTCGAAATGTGATTACTTTAATTCGCTTTAATTGCATTATATAGGGGCGTTTAGGTCCATGGAATGGGCCACCGAGTTCGCCAGATATTACACAGGTTGGGGGCTATTAAAAAAAGAGTGTAAAACTCCAGTTGAAACAATAGAAGATTTGGAAAGCCGTTTCCAACAGACTTTTCAACAACTTGATCCAAACGAATTTTAAATGGCAACAGTTTTCAATATTATGAATTCAATTCACGGATGTCTCAGAACAAGCGGAGGTCATTTCAAGCATAATATCTAGAAATGTAACTAAAAACAACTTAAAACCGTTTATTAGTCGTTAACATTCGTTTTGTTTCTATGAATATTAAACTTTTGGTTGGCATATGTATTTTTCCAGCTTCACTGTTTCAATTACTCATTTGAATACGCTAATAACAGAATATTAAGCTTATTAATGTCAAAGACAAATTTGTTTACAAAACGTCACCATGGGGGCCCAGAGCCTGCTACCCAGATTAATTAATTAATTCTCTTTAATTGTATTATTTTGTTTGTTTTTTTTGCTTATAACTCGAAAACTAGTGAAAATAGAGATACCACAGTTTGGTACTTTTAAATGGAAAATGAATTGCTCATTTACGTGCCAATATAAAATATGGGGCGTTCCATTTAAAATTCCGATGGTACATGGATTTTAATATCTTTGCCAATTGGGCGTTATCTTATGAACGCCCTGTATCCGATAAGTTAATTCCCATTCTATATTATGATAAAGCAATTTAATAGGGAACTGCAGTCAAAAATTCAAGTGTTTAGCTGTACGGGTTGCGAAAAAAATTATTATTTTATATCGGGTTGTTTGTTGCCAAATTTTTTAAAAAGAATTTTTTATCTTCGAAAATGTTCAAGATAGGTATAGTACATGTTACATAAAAAAGTTCTAGAATATTTCACAGTATCTAACAATGTAATGATATACAGGGTGTTCAATTTAAAAACTGAAAGTTGATATATGTTAAGAGTATATCTAGCAACACCGCATGGCCAAAAATATTGCACATAGGTAGCTCATATTCGGTTACATAAGTAGCCAAGATTTCAGGTTTTTACCGTAAGTCATTCTCCATAGACGTCCAGTAGGACACTTACCCTGAATAACCCTGTATAAATAGCGATACAGAAATAGAGATAGATTCAATACTTTTCCCAGTAATTTTATACCAAAATCCTAATTTTTAATCCATTCTGCTTATGTTAGTAGACTGAAATAAGAGTAATTTATTTTATATATTCTTTGTTGTACCGACTTAATTTCATTTTTCGAAATTCCAAAAGTGTTTCTTATTATCAAAAGTGACAAATAAGAAAAAGTGACAAGAGTTTAACAATTAAACTGAGTAAATCAGTTTAATTGTCATCATCATCTTTCGTGATGAGAATAGTTTAGATTAGATTTCATTTCATTAAATTTTGTTTATATACGTCTGATGCGGAACAAAATAATAATAAAAATAAGCAAACATGGACAAACATTTTGAACAACTTTAGATTGCCGCCATATATTTCTCCGAGGAGTAAAAAGCCATTCCGGCCGAATGATAATTTGCCTTCCTTTTGAATGACTGCAGTGGTAAGAATCTAGTACAGATATTCATCCTCTGTAGAGGATGGTGGTTGGCTAGTATGTGGGTTATGTGTTTTTGTGCGGTTAAAGGAGCGACTGAACAATTTACTCTGAGTGCACTGAAATTGCGTAAAGCATAAAGTAATGGAGGTCCTTAATATATAATATGAATGTCACATCACTGAGGGACTCCATGATTCACTTCTTTAATATCACAATTTTCACGACTTGTTCTGACATACTGGTTTCGATGTAAAAAAAAAAGTTGTTTTTTCTAGTAGAATCTTGTGATTAACGCAGCCGTAGATCTTGCTGAGGTCGCATAGCTCAGGGCCCAAAACAACGCGGTCAAGAAGTAAAGTTATAGGGGACATAGTGGACAGGCTTTTATTATTAGATTCCAGGTCATAATTAATATGAGGCTTCAGAACTAGTTCAAACAGTTTACCAACAATGAGAGTTATCGAGTTAGGGCAATTAAAGATAAAGTTAATGAATCAAGATAGGGATTACGCAGCTGATCTTTAAAGCATTACGAAAGTCGATTTTAAAAATGCACGGATCGAAAAGATATTCCACTTGCTTAGCACAGTGCTTTATTATTTTAACATTTAAATGACAATAACGTTCAGATTAGGAATCTTGTAGATTTATTATAGGATTTTCCGCGAAGCAATGTGGTTAAAAGTTTTCGGACTACAAAATCAAATCCCAAAACCATAAATTAATAAGGCAAGTCGGTTTATTTACAAGCGTAATGAAGGCGAGCGAGCTATATCAATTACGTTCCACTTTTTATTTACAAATTTATTGCCTCGTGGATGTCATGGGAGGCCGAAAGCCTCTCGTAATATATTTTTTTTCTGCAACCGCGGTTTTTTAGAATGTATAGGGTGGGCCGTTTATCTTGGGACACTACCTGATCTCAGAAACTGTAGGGGATGGAGTCAAAAGTTAAATACAAAAGTTAATTGGGGTGTTACAAATCTTCAATTTATTTGAATGTTGTATATAGAGGGTGTTTCATTTTTCGTGGGAAGTATCAACTTTCTTATTTTAAATGGAACACCGGGTATATTACTTCATTTTTGCAGACATATTTTGTGTATGTCCTATATCTTATATCTAAGTCCTATATCTAAGACATTTTTAATTTTATGCAAGACTTAAAATATCTGCCAATTTCTTCATTCGGAAGCATTTATTGTTTCACTTGAGTAGGTTTTGTTGTAGAAAAAAGACTCGAATAACGGATTTCATAAGAAATTTCAATTCTTATTAATACAGGGTACACCAAAAATAAGATTACAAATAAAATTTAAAAAAACCGCAAAAAACTTTTTTTTTAAACTACCTATTTTTAGAATCCTGTCATATTTAGCGTTAAAAATTAAGGCAATTTTATATATGCCTAATATTTTTACTTTTTGAAATTTGAAATATATATAAGTTCAGTTAGTGGTGGCTATGACGGCGTTTGAACACAATAAGTACTAAAGTGATGGATGATTTACCATTTCATAGTTGACCATAATATTGCCAATGCGCTTATGATGGAACATTATGTAAATATATGTCTGCATTATTTACACACAATAAGACCAAGGATACGCAAACTTACAAAAACGAGATTTGGGAAATTAGGCTATAAATCGCAATATGAGTGCCACGATGCCAATTGATTACCTCTAGAACCGCATCTCAATATATTTACCCTAACCTAGAATACGAATAAAAGGACACACTTACCAAAAAGTAAAATTTTGGGAAACATCTCTACTTTACGCGTTATTATTAAAGTCTAATTATCTCGAATTTACCAAATAATATTTAAACAATATAAATGTCATTATTTATCTTTTTTATTTTATTTACTATACCTTGGAAGGCACCAAGTTTCCCTATATCTTCTACATTTTCATTAATTTTTGATTAAAAGTTCAATCACTGACTCGGTCAGTAATCAATTATTATTGGCGACTAATTGTATTAACTCTTAACTTATTTTAGCAGTAAAATTTAAAAAATGTATATAGCATTGGCATAGATAATTCATTTCAAGATTGTCACTACGCACTTTTTATCTCATTCTCATGTCAAGGTCTCTTTCTGAAGTTTTAAATAGTTTAAATTTGCATTAAAACTTTTTTATTTAAACCAGACAAGTGCGTTGTAATCCAGTAACTAGAAGACGCGTTAAATAATCCAAAAGTAATTATTGTCTTAACAAGTGAATAAAACTAATTTTTAATGCAAGTAATAATACAAAATTATTAATTAATTAATTAATAATAATAAACATGAATGACAAAATGTTGTTTTATTGTTTGTGCATCCTAAATAATAAACTATGGTTTTATTTATTAAATTAGGAATAATTGCATGAATATGATGCATGATGCATCAATAAATTCAACTTTTTTGAGTAAAGTAAAGTTCTTCTATTCACAACTTAGGTCAGAATAAAAATGTTGATTAACGATTTTCACTGGACGTGTTTATCTGATACCCCCACCACTTTCCTTGCAGATGTAGAGAAAACTATGGTTAACATTAAAAATATTTCTAAAAACCGGGGTTTGAAAGCCATTTATGCCTTATATTATTTGGTATCTCTTTTTAGTGAAAGAGGGGGCCCGTATATTTATTTGGATGCATTTTTTCAGATCTCAAATATGGATTCGAAGTTGGTCATAAGGCGTAGAGGCACGCCGATCCCTGTCGCTTCTCCTCGAATCCCAACTCCGATGCCTTTAAACAACAACAACGGTCCCAGGTAGGACACTAGCTGTAGAAGGTGTTCGCAATTGATGGAATACAGCAACTAGATAGAGAATCTGTTATGTATAATAGAACTAAGGATTCAAACACACATACGTACAAACACACACACACACCCACCCACACACACACACACACACACACACACACACACACACGCACGCGCGCGCACAGACACACACACACGCACACACACTCACACACACACTCACACACAAATCAAACATTTTTATTATTATACGTTAAACATGTCACCAATTTGTGTCTGTGTGCATTTGAGTTGACGTTTATGCATGTCTGATGATGCTCATGCGGATGAAATACGCAGGATGTTTTAATAATAATATTTTTTGGACGTTGGTTTGAATCCTGTGTAATAGATAGACCAGGCAGTTCCATTCTGCATCGTGGTCAAGAACCCAGAACATTTCCAGACCTATCCTGTGACGAATTTTAACCGCAACTTAGGTCTCTACCTGTCACCAATATGGGAATCCGCCATCAAACATAATCTGCATAGCCCTCTTTTAGTCCTGCCCACTCAAACAATGTAGAAGCAGGTACAGAGTAAAATACGAGCCAGTTTCAGTCAAGCTCTGAAGAAGCCAACTGATCAGCAAGTTCGACTCAGGAAAAACAGACGCAGGAGGAAACCAGAAGTTTTGTAAAAAGTGTTATTATTATTTAATTTTTGCAGACATATTTTGTGTATGTCCTATATCTTATATCTAAGTCCTATATCTAAGACATTTTTAATTTTATGCAAGACTTAAAATATCTGCCAATTTCTTCATTCGGAAGCATTTATTGTTTCACTTGAGTAGGTTTTGTTGTAGAAAAAAGACTCGAATAACGGATTTCATAAGAAATTTCAATTCTTATTAATACAGGGTACACCAAAAATGAGATTAGAAATAAAATTTAAAAAAACTGCAAAAAACTTTTTTTTTTAAACTATTTTTAGAATCCTGTCATATTTAGCGTTAAAAATTAAGGCAATTTTATATAAGGTGGTATATGCCTAATATTTTTACTTTTTGAAATTTGAAATATATATAAGTTCAGTTAGTGGTGTTATTATTATTATTATTTGCAAGTACCAAGATAGTTCATACTTCAGCAGGTTGAGACTGGTACGTATAATACGAATTGGTAGCAAATACTATGCGAAGAAATCGATATGAAATACTGAAAAGATATAAGATAATAATAAATTTTCAAAGTTACAACCACTCTTCAATATGTTGAATGACGATGAAAGTATAGTACCATGCATATTTCGGAATACATGGAGCGAAGCAATATAACCCCTTGATCCGCCGTGTAGCAGCAAAGTTAGTGCCAAAATATCTCAATTTCATGAAAAATACCATATCCATTCAACCTATCATTACTGAGCCTAGTGAAAAAAAGAACACCTCGTTTTCAGTAAAAAAGCATGCAATTTTCACAGTTTTCATGGATAAAAAGGGTGTGGGGCATCATTATTTTTTGCCAGAAGGCCAAACAGTAAACAAAGAGTATTATTTGGATGTTGTGAGACGCGTGCGATCTATCTCGCTGTGACAATCGAGTCAAGTAATGGAAAGCAATGAGAGTAATGGAAAAATCTCAGTACATTCCGGAAACTGAACATAAAAAATGTTTCGAGGATTGAATGAAGCGCTGGAATTAGTGATAAACTATATTAAACTCTGTTTTTCTTATTTGAAATCAGAGTTGTTTCTAAAGCACCATATAAAATATACTGGATGTTTCAAAACTTAAGCCTGCGATTTCATGTTTAAAGTAAAGGTTAGTCTGTTATACAAACATTGGGTGACAACCTAATCAACCAGTAGGGAGATATTGCGCTGCAATTATGGTTGAAAAATAAATGTATATAAATATTTCAGTTAAACTCTGAAGAAACCAACAGGTTGATTGGCGAAGCGTCAGCAATTTTGATTCAACAACATCTAACGCAGGAGGAATTCAGAAGTTTTATAAACAGTGTTACAGTAGCCTGTAGAAGTTCCTTTGAAAAAAAAAAGTAATTATAATGTTATAAAACTTACGGGTTATTATTAAAAACACACTTTGCGCATATGTTTTTAACTAAATTTAAAGAATAATTTAGGCAATGACATGTTTTTTTTATGTTTTATTTAGAGACCTTTGACACATACAATTTTTTCATAATCCTTCCAGTTTCCGAATAAAAAAATTAAATGTAAAGCGATTTACAACGAGCTAAAAAATTATTAAATCTTGTTGACTACTGTCACTTCTTCATGCGTATTATTGCTTCATTTGACATTGCCCCGTTAGATTTAATACAAAATACAATTAATTTATTCAATAATTTAGAGTTTTAATTCAATATTGGTTAATTACACCAATACAGAAATGTAAGATATGCATTTAACGTCCAAACTGAAATTCCATGCAAGCTTGTCGTCCGAATACACCAGCGTATCCTAATCGTAGACCTTCTCATCACAGCCTGTTCATCAGAGGCTACATGAGTTTGAAGGTTCCAAAAAAAGGAATGGAAATTGCTGTGCTAAATAATATTGAAGGCCAACCGGACACAAGTACCAGGAAACTTGCACCAGAATTAGAAGTGATGCATGACGGAGGATATTAAAAGAACAATGGTTATATTCATACAACGTACAGAAGGTTCAAGTTCTTAAACCAAGAGATTGAGAAGAACGTTGTAAGAGACAAAAAAAGTTATAATAAAGTGGTCCATCCAAATTAATTTTGTCCATGCCATTGCGTTAGTTTTTCTTAAAATTTAATTAAGAAGAATGACAGGGGTAGTGTAATTCAATCGCCTCCACTCATTTAGAAAAATAAGCAGAACGACGAGTTTTTGACCCCACGTTTATACAGCAGACTACCCTTGTGTGTTGAAACGCTTTTGCAAAAATCAATTTTAGTTTCTAGTTAATTTTTGAGGCGTTTGTAAAATTTCGGCATATCAGGTGCTTTTAATTTATTGAAACTTTAATCGTTTTATTATAATTGAACGAAATTTTATGAATATTTTCGAAAATCGAACTAATCTAAACACCGCTATAAGCCGCGAAAAAAACGCATCCGCCATCTTGCCCGCGGACCATCGGGCATATTTAACGCAAATCTTTTTGATTGCGGAGCCTTATCCGTATAGAGACCGAGAGATTTCGGTGATAAGCCCGCTGCGTTTTCAACCGACCACCGGATAGCGCATACTTTCGCTGACAAAACGGCAAAAGAATCACACGCAGCGCTTGGCCAATAAGTAGTCTCCTCTCTAATGAGTCTACGTATCGCGCAACCCAGATCTCCATTCCAACCGCGAACTTGAAAAGGCGTGGAATCAAAAAACCACGAGCCGTATACACTCTCGTAAAGAGGCTGCAATCTTTTCAAGAACGCAAAACGCAAAGTTTACGGTTTCCATATTTGGACGAGAAAACTTTAAAGGAATTATGTTTACGATACGAATAAACGTGAATAGTAATTCGAGCCCCGGTTCGTGCATGTATAAGCATGTATATAAAACGTTTGCAGGATTCCAATCGGAGTTCAACAAACGAAAGTATGATATCCCGGAATATATATATATATATATATATATATATATATATATATATATATATATATATATATATATATATATATATATATATATATATATATATATATATATATATATATATATATATATATATATATATAATAAAATATCTTAAGTGCTCTTTTTCACAACTAGCCTTTACTCTTATGCTTCAAGCTTTCGCCCAGGATTATAGGCTTCATCAGGAAGACTAAAATTTATGGAAAAACATTCTATTACATTTTGATACTTAGGAAATATTTTTTAAATATAACATTGTCAAATCAAGCACGAGAAAAAAAAGAACACAAAACTATTTTAATATTCCAGTTATAAATGTATTAGTACTTACAGAATGTGCAGTTAATTCAAACTCTAAATTGCCGGCATGTCAACATTAAAAATTTTTCTTTATTATTTAAAAATACACACGTTCAAGATTAGTTTAAACTAACAGACAGACACAACAACAACCCAAAGGGGGATGATCACAGATTCAAAAAAGTTTATGTTTCTTTAAAATATCAACGCGTGTTAACAACAATTTCATTTCTAAGTAAGAATGACATATCAGTAGAGGGGGATAACGATTAGTAATTAAACGCTACCAATCGCACTACCAACCTGAGACAATTGAAATCACTACGCATGGAATTAGACTTAATATTATAGTTACATAAGGAGTAATAAAAAGTGACTGGCAAAATTCAACAATAACACTATACTTTTGTTGTATAAAAAGATGGTAATTTGTTCTTTTTTGTAATATTTTGACTAAATAAATAAATTTCAATAACGCTCAACCCCTCTACATCTTTTTTTAGATTTATGCTGTTGTCAGAGTTATAAATATAACACGTTTCAAGGAATTTACGCTTGAATAAACTAGACTCTACGTTCAGAACAGAAACCTCATCGTAGGAAACCTTGTGTTCCGTCTCATTCACGTGTTTGCTCAAACTCGTTGAGTTAGGTTTGTTTTTGCAGTCACTTCTGTGGCCTTTTTGAAAGTGTTTATGATAATTTAGAGTTTAAATTAACTGCACATTCTGTAAGTACCAATAGATTTATAACTTGAATATTAAAACAGTTTTGTGTTCTTTTTTTCTCTCATGCTTGATTTGACAATGTTATATTTAAAAAATATTTCAATATTTCAGATGAAGCCTACAATCCTGGGCGAAAGCTTGAAGCATAAGAATAAATAAAGGCTAGTTGTGAAAAAGAGCACTTTTTTGCTTTTATTGCTTAACTCTTAACTCTTAACTCTAACCTATATATATATATATATATATATATATATATATATATATATATATATATATATATATATATATATATATATATATATATATATATATATATATATATATATATATATATATATATATATATATATATATATA